AACCAAGAAAAACGAGCCCCTAAAATTTGTCACACTTCCTCTATTCAAGACAAATCTGAACACTGTGAGTGTGAAATGCAAGAGCTCTGAAGAGAAAGAACAGCACACTCAGCCCCCACAAGGGGCCTGGCCAACCAGCAGGCAGTAACACGTGCAGCGGCACAGCCTCAAGGTGAGGATCAAGAACCCCCGTAACAGTCACTCCAGGCCTGGACTCCCTGGTGACCTGTGAAGGACAACATCTCACACCACAGTCCATGGGTCAGGGGAGAGATACACAAGCAAGGGGTGAAAGGACGACTTCAGATTTGATGTCACTGTTGTAACTTAATTTTACTCCAAAATGATACCCATGATAATTTGGGAGGAAAAGAAAAAAAATATATACTTTACTTTTTGGCCATTGAAATATTCACCTCCGAAAAGAATTAATTCATCTTTGTCAGGATGAGCAGAAAGGGAGGCATTTAACCTACAAGAGACATAAGTAGAAAGCCAACACAGTGTCATACATGGGGTGCCCAGTGTCACAGCTGGTCCTGTTTCCTGCTATGTCACCAGGGACCAACCATTCCTAAACTTCTGTGAAAGTGGAGCCTGGCTCTGGGAAGGAAGCAAAACCACCACTTTTTTCTTTCTTCCTTTTTTTTTTTTTTTTGAGACAGAGTCTCACTTTGTTGCTCTCTGTAAAGTGCTTTTATGCACAGCTCATAGCAACCTCAAACGCTTGGGTTCAAGCAATGCTCTCGCCTCATCTTCCTGAGTAGCTGAGACTACAGGCGCCTGCCACACCACCAGGCTATTTTTAGAGATGGGGTCTTGCTTTGGCTTAGGCTGGTCTCAAACCCATAAGCTCAGGCAGTCCACCTGCCTTGGCCTCCCAGAGTGCTGGGATTACAGGCGTGAGCCACTGCATCTGGCCTCAAGCCACCACCTTTAAAATCAACCTTTTGGGGCTCGGCGCCTATAGCTCAACCAGCTAAGGCACCAGCCACATACACCTAAGGTGGAGGGTTCGAATCCCCAGCCCGGACCCGCAAAACAACGACAGCTGCAACAAAAAAATAGCCGGGCAGAGGCAGGAGACTCGCTTGAGCCTAGGAGTTGGAGGTTGCTGTGAGCTGTAATGCCACGGCACTCTGCCCAGGGGGACAGCTTGAGGCTCTGTCTCAAAAAAAAAAAAAAAAAAAATCAACCTTTTGGTCAAACGCAGTGGCTCCTGCCTGTAATCCCAGCACCCTAGGAGCCCAAGGCAGTTAGGTTGCTTGAGTTCAGGAGTTTGAGACTCAACTCCTGAGTCTGAGTAAGAGGGAGACCCTGCCTCTTCTAAAAACTAAAAAATTAGCTAGATGTAGTGGTGGGTGCCTGCAGCCCCAGCTACTCAGTAGACTGAAGTAAGAGGATGGCTTAAGCCCAAGAATCTGAGGTTGCTGTGAGCTATGATGATGTCACCACACTCTACCCAAGGGAACAAAGACACTGTCTCAAAAATAAAATAAAATCAACTTTTTGACCCCTCGACTAATACCCAGGGCCACACTTCCAAGAGCCCCTATATGTCACTCTTGGTCAGATTGCTCTTAAACTACGACTGATTGATGAGCGCAATCGATCCTCCTACCTCAGCCTCCCCAATTGCTGGGATCACAGGTACAGCCACCATGGACAGCCTACAGTCTCTGATTTATAGACGGAAACAGCCTGATGACACAATGCAAAGACCCTTGCTTGCTTACCTTGGTGAAGGTGGGGAACACGGCGTTTCCACAATCTGAGTTTTCTCGGCATCTAGTGTCTGGAAATGGGCTATGAGGGCCTCCAGGTCTTCCTATAGGGAGACAAGCAGCACACGTGAGGCTTGTTCTTAAAACCCCTCAGCCTTCCTCCACTGCCTCATAATCTGACTGGGCTTCCACCAGATCTGTGAATGACAGCACACTCCACCTCTTTGACCTCAAAGGCAGTTTGCTTAGAAGTATAGATGTGCACTCCCAAGTACTGTCTCGCTCACACTCGTGCACGCCCAAAGGATGTGTGTCTAAACAGCCCTCCCTGCTTCACTGCGAACATCTTGGACACCCCCATCATACTGTGTGCTCTCCTGCAACTTGCTGCATTGCTCATTGTAGTTGAATCAATAGTTTGATACACTAAATGCATGAGTTTTCACCATGGCGTCATTACAGCTCAGTCAGAACTTATTTGTCAATCCTCCTGCTATGGAACATCTAGGTTAATTCGAATTTCCCATTTTTACAAACAATCCTATCATGACCATTCTTTTTTCTTTTTTTAGAGACAGAGCGTCACTTTGTTGCTCTCAGTAGAGTGCTATGGTGTCACAGCTCACAGCAACCTCCAGCTCTTGGGCTTAGGTGATTCACTTGACTCAGCCTCCCGAGTAGCTGGGACTACAGGCGCCTGCCACAATGCCCAGCTATTTTTTGGTTGCAGCCATCATTGTTGTTTGGCGGGCCCAGGCTGTATTCAAACCTGCCAGCTCAGATGTATGTGGCTGGCGCCTTAGCCGCTTGAGCCACAGGTGCCCAGCCCCCAGAGAATTCTTTACTTATTATTATTTTCTTATTTTGGAGACAGTCTCACTCTGTCCCTCTAAATAGACGCCATAAAGTGCCATTGTATCATTAGAGCTCAAAGCAACCTCAAACTCCTAGGCTCAAGTGATCCTCTTGCCTCAGTCTCCCAAGTAGCTGAGACTATAAACAACCACAACGCCCAGCTAACTTTTTACTTTAAGTATGGACAGGGTCTTGCTTTTGCTCAGGCTGGTCTCAAACCCCTGAGTTCAAGGAATCCTTTCACCTCAGTCTCCCGGATTGCTAGGATCATAGGCATGAGCCACTGTTGACAGTCCTGTCCAAAGAATTCTTTAGGTGTGGCACTGCTAGGTTGTAGCCTCCATTTTTCTAAATAATGACAAACTAGGATCCAAAGTGGCTCCTCTGGTTTTTATATCTCCACTAACAGTCTGTGGAAGTGTCCATCACACCACTGCCTCTGTGAGGGCAGTTATCTAACAGCTGTCTCGGGGACCACTCATCACTAATGCAAAACACAGGCAGTAGGCACTTGAGATGTGTTATTGAAAAGGGAGTTCATACACCACCCTGGATGCAAAGGGACTGTGAGAGCCCTTAAGGTCAAAGCCCCTGGCTGAAGCTCCAGCAGGGCTCCCCTCAGAGGTGGAAGGAGTGGGCAGGAACAAGGGGCACCTAGTCTGAAGAAAAGAGCTCTTGTATCACCCAGCACCAGTGCCCACCTGCCTAAGGCCATCCCCACACAGCCAGCCAGTCACACTGCATTTCCAGTGCAGTGGTGGGCACTGCAGGATGATGTGAGGATGAGTGAAGATGACAGTTAACAGTTGAGAACTTACCTCGTGCCAAGCAGTATTCTAAAGAGACCAGATAAAATGACTTTCTGTGCCACAAGCCTAACCAGCAGGCTGTCTTCCTCAGAGGCCATCCAGCTAGTGGTGGCAGAGGTGGGATTCAAACTCACACCTGACTGCAGAGCCTGTGCACTTAACTGGTCAAGAACCTTGGAATGAATGGTAGAACCTAAGGAGAATTCTAGGGGAAGTCCAACCCCATCTCTCACAGATGAAGAAGTGAACAGATGAATAACTCAGGAAGAAAAGGGGCAAAGAAATGTGGGGATTCTGGTCATGGCCCAGTTCCACACATCTTCATGTGTGTGTGTGTGAGGCTTATGTGTGAGGTGTCTAACCTGCTGGTCTTTCACTTTCTAACTGTGGTATGTGAATGCCAAGGACTGGTAGGCTGTGAGGATTAAAGCCCAGTGCCTGGCACAGCAGAAGCACTCAACAGACACTGGCCATTAAAACTGCCCCAGGCTAGGGAGCCCAGGAGAAGCAGTCAACAGAAAGCAGAACACTCAACCTCAGCGCCGATCCACCTGCAGATCTGGGACGGGGAAGGAAGGCAAAGCATAATGGTACGGGACTGGCACCATCACCTGTTACAGAATACCCTACAGTTCTACCACGCGATGCTCACTCCTCAGGGATGGCAGGACGATTATTTGTCTTCTTTCAAAAGACGAAAAGAGTGAGGCTCAGAAAAGTTAAGCGCCTTAAACACCTTGCCAAGGAGAGCCCAAACATCGCCAAGGCTCCAATACTATCCCTCAGCCTCTTCTCACCCACCTGCTTTTACCCTAGGGAGACAGAGCGAGCAGAGGAGAAACGCACAGGGCAGCACACCGAGAGAGGCAAGCGCGTCAAAGGAGCAGCCCCCTTGCTCTCGGAGAGTCGGGTGGGCACCCGCGGAAGCCCGGGAGGAGGCCGGCCCAGCCCAGGCCGCACCTACGGCTTCCAGCTCGCCCGCGGGGCCGACGGTGCCCTAGGGAGCAGCCGAGGACCCGCCGCTCCGGAGGGCGCAGGGACCCCGCCAGGCCGCCGACCCCGCTCACCTCCTCCTTCCGCGAACGCTTGGACACCTTCTTCTCCATCTTGGCTGCTGTCTTCTCCGCCCCGCGGCCCTTCTTCTCCTTCTTGCCCTTCTTGCCCATCGCGAGGGACAGCGGCCGCGCTGGCTCGGACACCCCGCGGAGACCCCAGAGAGGCGGGAAGCAGCGCTCAGCGCGTCCGGAAACAGGTGCTCGCGGGGCTGTGCCGGGCGCGCGGGAATCGCGTCACTTCCGCTCTGGGCCCCGACACGCTTCCGGCGGAGGGGCTGGCGGAGCTGGCGGGGCTGTTCGTCCTGCGTCCGCCGGGGACCTCGCCCAGTTCTCACGCAGGTGCCCGGGAGGCTCAGCGGCCCCGGCTTGGGAGCGGGCCCGGCCCTCTCTAGAGTCGCTACCTCTGACCCCATCAAATAAATGAACGCTGTCCCCTTCCCCATCCGTTTGCAGTGCGCCAGATTCAATGTCCTAGCATAGAGGACTTTAGGTGGCCGTCCGTGGGCTCGGGCAATGCCGCTGCCTCCGCGCGGAGTCAGTTTGCGGAGCCTGAGAAACGACGGGTCAGGTCCAACTGCCTGCGGGAAATCGTACTTTAGGTTT